TCTCGATCATCTCCCTGCAGAGAGTCAGTCAACACTCCCCGCAGGGATACCCCCCTCCCCTCTTCGATCCTCAAGCACTGACTGGAGAAATGGAGGGGGCGGGCACAGCTGGCTCTGCCTCTAGATAGGCAGAGCCCGCTGTCACTCAGCCGATGGAGTGGATCTCGACAGTATTGTCAGGATCTGTCCTGGCTGCAGCGCTCTCGCAATAGTAATAGCCCGCTATATACTGAGTTTTGGGTCACCGGAGGAGGTTAGTTCATGTCCTCCGGTGACCCCAACGTGAAATATGGGGGGGGAAAAAAAAAGATTACGCCATAGTTCTCTTTTAATAATCGGATTGTACAAACTCCTTTACATTTACATACTCTGTGGTCCTGATTTGAAGTAAATTGAATGAATCGGGCAGGCCCCTACACCATAATGTTTCTGGTAAAATTAAAGAACATCGGCAAAACTTTTATTAACCCTTACAGTAGGCTACCCACACATTGCAAGGGCTAACTACTTGTTTTTGTCTAGGTGCTAAAAAAGTAATACTTACACAAACCGCTGAGCTGGCTCCCAGCTTCTCCGATCACTGAAGCCTCTCTCCTCTTATGCTGCAGCATTGGAATGTTCCTCAGTGTCCTCATCTAAACACGCTATTTAAAATGTAATTTTTACAGGACCGTAGATCTCTGCACAGGAGGGGGGAGAGAGCCTAAAAGGACTGGTCTAGGAACAAGCCGGCTCAGAGGATCAGGTGAGTTGAACTTATGTTTTCTTCCATAGACCAAAACAAGCACTTAACCCTTGCAGTGTGGGAATAGCCCCATTGCAAGGGTTAATAAAAGTTTTGTCCAGAGTTCTTCTTCAAAGCTGGGCATTGTAAGCAGTATGAATTCCTGAATACAGTTTATTCAAGGATGTGCTACATAGTTGTCAGTAAATCTAAAGGATTTCCACCTTAACCTGGCCATACACAGAGTAAATTCTATTCATGGGTGGCCCTGATGGCACCCCTCAGCTCAACCTCAGCTGATTTTTCAAATGACTTTTGTTGAAGGAGCCAATCTGGATGCTGGCACTGTGCAGTTGAACATTTTCAATCAGTGGCTGCTGAATACAATGACCCGGTGGGGGAGATTCCTCCATCCTTTCCGTTTAGGATCCATTTGATTTTTGTTGGAATAGCGTACGGCCAGCTTTGTATGGTAATCTATTAGTGTATTGCCAGCTTAAGACAAACGCCACCACTAGCACTGTTTCTTACTTGCATAATATAAAGACAAAAAAAAAATTCAGCTCACCCACAGATGCCGTGTTTGCATGAGAAAGCGGAAATTAACATACTTTTAAACAAGCAGGAAAAAAAAAAGGCATTGATGGAGCAGGGCGCTTCCTGAGAATTTCCATTAATTAACATTTAGAAAGTGTTAAATAACATTGGCAGACAGCAGTGGTGTGCAGCATATGATAAGCTTCCTGTAGTTTGACTAAACTGCACAACAGGTACCGGATACTACCCTGCATTGTCCTGGGCCAAAAAATACTTCAGAAATGGACTTTATTGCTTTACGCTTGCATTGCTATGTGTTCTAATGTGATGCTCTTGGTATATCATGTGTTTATCCAACAAAGATGTTTTTGAATGTTAAAAAATACACCATATAAGCCTCTACATCACAGTCCAGTTGTACAATCCAAAATGGAAATGGTTTACTTGTAGCATTTTAAGTAAAAACTGGCTTACAAGTTATACTATGCATTTTTGACATGGCAGAGTCTACCTACTGTCAGAGAATCACTTCCCTAATAAATTACAGCAGCCATGCAATTTCCCAAGATTCTTCATGTTTTCCAGACTCAAGAACTACAGAGTTCCAAGAAATCAGCTGGAAAATGTAGGAATAATTACTTTCCACACGCAAGAATGCCCCATCAAAATGGGAAAGGGAGTCTACCAAACAACATCCTCTAATTGAGTAACAATTTCATTAGATCCCTGGGGTCTTAAGGGAAAGGGAGTTACAATAAATATTGGAAGCAATTTGAAGTATAACATGCGAGTAATGTGGAGAGACATGGCAAAGCCGTGGCTGCACTTTAACCAAAATATCATGGCATTATTCATGCATGTTTACAACATATCCATATCGACCGCTTATGCTCATTTGCAGTGTTATCAGCTCTTGCGTCTATAAATGCTTAATCATTTCCGTGACAGAAAGGGTGTGCACAAAATATAGACAATGCAGGAACTAATGACCGACAGTGCACAGGTTAAAAGCGATTTGCATTAGGTGAACCCACTCCACACAGAAAAAAAGGTTTACACCTTGCTGATATCACCATCCCCCAATGTAATCACAGTCAGGATGGTAAATATCACACCCAGGAGCAAAGATGAGGTGAGATGAGCAAAAAAAGAAAAAAATCTGTACACTCAAGTCACAAGCACGTTTTCAACCATTCCAGACACAAAGCATGTATATATATCTCTGATAGCTGCCTCTTTGGTAACGTCTGCATGCTCCTCAAATGCACATCCTATATTGTGGCATACCTGGACACTACAAAGCATTGTTTACAGACATAAGAAAACATCATGCACACACAACCCTTACCTAATAAACAGGCTAATAAGCAGCCATTCACAGCAACTCATAACAACTACGGTAATCAAATATCATTTTTTGTGCTCAGTCCTGCCAACAAAAACAGGCTGCTATCAGGTATAGTGGGTACATTGAAGTCTTATATGTATAAAATGCAATGGCATATTTTAGAGCCGCTTTCCTGCATTTTACTGCCCATTCGTTCCTACGGGGCTGGTTCACATTTATGCGATGCACTTTATTGTGATTGAGAAAGGTTAACTGTATAGGCCCATCCACACCTACACACGTGCATTACCACGTGTGCTGCATGCACACAGAACAGTATGAATCCCGGCTTTGCACATTACTGCACTGGTGTGCCATTAGCCCCTATTTACGTCTGTGCCGCAGCATACCAAAATTCATGTCACTTTGTAGTGTGTGACGCAGTACAATTCACCGACAATGGCACTCCAACACGCTTTCAGGTATGTGGCATCAAAACGCATGGCAACAAAGCACCATACTTTTTCATGCGGCATGTTTTGAAATAAAGGTACAGGGACTTTTTTGGTGCAATTGTTGTACGCAGGGCAGCCCATTGAATAGAATGGGCTGTTCTACAAGAGACACACTTGCATTGCAGTACAATGTAAGGCCCCTTTCACATGGGCTGATCAGGAGGGGATCCGTGCACAGATCCCCTCCTGATCAGAGCAGCGCGGAGAGAATGTTACCGCTGTCACATCCATATCCGTATAGTTTTTGCCTCCGCCTTGTGATGGAGGAAAGAACAAAAACTGACCCCATGTTGGTCTTTGGGGAATCAGATGAACATGGACTTGTGTCTGTTTATACCAGGCTACCCCCGATCTGGCAAAATCAGGTCCAGTGAAACGGATCTCTGATGCATTTGTATTTCCAGACCCGGCCAGAGGCGAGGGTAACCAGGTATAAACGAACACGTGTCAGTTGAAAGACCGGACGGACTGCCCATGTGAAAGAGGCCAAAAACAGTCAAGTGTGGTTTCTTGTGTGCTGGCCCATTACAAATGAACACGCTGCCTTCAGACCCCTTTCGCACAGGCTTTCCGATCAGATACGCCTGTCAGTTTTTCAGGCGGACCTGATAGGAAAACCTGATGTTAGTCTATGGGCAGCCATATGGCGTCCATTTACATCTGGTGACCCCTGGCTCTGGCCAGGTCCAGATAAACAAACAGATCAGGGGTAAATGGATGTAAACAGAGAGCTGTCCGTTTAGATTCAGCCTCCCATTGACTAACCTGGGTTTAGTAATGTGCGTTTCTTCCTCCATCACAAGATGGAGGAAAAAAACTGCATGGACATCACAGCGGTGACATCCATTCTGATCAGGAGGGAATCCGCACATGTATGACCCCTCCTGATGGGACAGCATGAAAGGGACCTTACACAATGCATATCACAGGTGTGACGCTGGAAACAGGGCATAACAACGTGTCCTTTTTCTTTTGTCAGAACTTTATTGAAATCTCACAACCTGACACTTCATTCAGTTCTATCGGCCTCATTGCAATGATTTTTTATTTTTTTAAGGACACACCACCAAAAAGTGTCTTGCTTTTTTTCGTTGGGACTGCACTGGGCAAAGCCGCTGGTGTGAAGCCGGCCTTCAAGTCTATGTAAAGCAGACACAATTTTAGTTTTGGATTAAACAGGAAAAGGGGTTTAAAGCCCTCGTCTGGGTTTTATCACTGTCTGTATCCAATAGGGATACTTGATGCGATGACAAGAGAGGATTTCCCTCATTTCAGAGAAATTTCCTCTTGCTTCCTATTGTGTCTACGGGACAGGAAGTGATGGGAAATCCCTCACATAGGAAACAGATGGTAAACAAAAAAAAAAAAGGGGGACGGGTTTTAAACTTTCTAGTGCGTCCAAAACAAAAAACAAGTTTTAAGATATACTTTAGCATGCATTGAAATCTTTTAGCAATGTACATGTCTGGGGTAGGGATTGCTGCTGGACCTGGGAAGGGGGTGTACCAATGTTTGTTATGGAAAGGTTCACCAGCTTGCTCCATGGACACGGCTATGGGAGGCACAACAAAGAGGGAGCAGCTGAGAGTACAGAGTAAATAAACGGTGTACACGAAGGAGGGAACACCGGAGATCACACAGCTCTGGTAGATCAATAAAATTATAGCACAGGGAGGAGCAACACACGGACGGGACACCGAGCGATTCCTGATAGTGGTAGCAGCGCAGGGAACACACAGGGCACAACACAAAGAAACGCACAGCTGTGGAGGGCAGCGCTGGAGACGGCAATATCCAGGTGGAAAGAGGCGAGGTACGTTTGACGGTGACCTGTGCCCAGCAGCTGCACACATTCACCTCACAGGGTAACAACTTCCTGAGCACAAACTTTACTCACCGACACAGACGCACAGAACGTCCAGCAACACGTAAACGTTCCTCCGGCCGGGCAACATCCTCCCCCCGCCCGCTCCGGTCCGTACTCCGGGACCAGACTGACTGAGACAGCCCCGCCCACCGCGAATCCAGGGAACCAGCCCGTGGAGTGACGTCACGGAGGACACTCCCGCTTCCCTGCCTTAACTCCACCCACCTCTCCCAATGATAACCAGTAATTAGAACTTGTTACATTGGACATGGTTAGGACCAGTGTATATAGATTGTTCCTTTGGGTCGGATTGTGTTAAACTTGCGCACATGTATGTTCATTTTATAGGTTTTCATTAGGAAAAAAAGGGAAAAGTTAGGGAAAAGGAATTTTTATAAACTCTCAAAAACATTGTGCATCACATTTATGTGTATTGGTTGCAGACCATTCATTTTAATGATGACATGTGACAAATGAGGCAAAGAAGCTTATACACTTTGCACATTCAAGTACCTTAAAGGAGAACTATGGGGTCAGTGTTTCCCCCATAGTTTTCCTAAGGGTAACGGGAGGACACCTCCCGTCACCCTAAGCTCAGTATACCGCGAGCTATAGCTTGCGGTATACTGAGACGCCGCAGCTGAAACGGATCCCGTCAATTATGTCTGGATCCGCCCAGCTGCGTGAGTGACAGCTGGCTCTGCCTATCTAGAGGCAGAGCCAGCTGTACCCGCTCCCTCCCCTGTCCGTTCCGCTAGTCAGCGCTGGAGGATCGGGAGGGGGGAATCCAGTCCCTCCCCTGTCATGGCACCCTGCCGTGACAGGATCGAGAAGTGAGCGAACGCCGGTATGTGTTTGCTCACTTCCCGATCTACTGAGCCGACCTGTGACAGTTTCATTGTCACAGGTCGGCTCAGACTATGAGGATGAGTGAAAAGCACTCATCTCATAGTTCTCCTTTAACTATGAACAACAATGTATTTTATTTGTGTATCACACAGCTGTAGATCCTCCAATAATCTCTGAATTGGTGCTGACACTGTCCTTCCTTCTGGAGGGTGACTACTTTTGTTCCCATGGTCCCTGTGTGTGTTGTAAAGTAGTCACCGCTCCAAGCTGGCTCCCATGATGGACTACAATCTAATGTTTAGTTTACTAATTTGTATTGAGATTGTAATCTATCACAGGAGTGAGCTTGGAGCGGCGGCTACTTTACAACACACACAGAGACCATGGGGAACAAAAGTAGCCACCCTCCAGAAGGAAGGACAGTGTCAGCACCAATTCAGAGAGGATTTGAGGACCTACAACTGAGTGATACACAAATAAGATACATTTTTATTAATAGCTAAGGTACCTGAATGTATTTTTAAGATTTAACTCCTGAATTTAGTGTCACTTTAATAAAATACTGGGGAACTCGATATAGCCAAGGCAATCACCTACTACAAACAGATTGTTTCAAAAACTTTTGATCCATACAACATTGTTTTAGTTTGGTGACACAGTGCCTCATATTGAATCTGTTATCTACAGTATAGTTTCCACTATCAAGCACCTGTGCTTTCCAGACAACCCTACTAAGTATGGGTTGTCTGGAAAACACATGTGTTTTTTAGTAGGAACTATATATAATAGATTTAGAGGGCTATTCATAAAAAGGTGAAGAGTTTGGAGAAGGCAGGAGAAGTGAACAATCTAGGCCAATATAGCTGAACTGGAAAGTGAACTGAATTTGGAGAAGGTTTCCAGTTCAGCTATATTGGCCTAGATTGTTCAGTTCTCCTGCCTTCTCCAAACTCTTCACCCTTTTGTGAATAACCCTGATAGTGTGACTTTAACTGTGGCAAATGGTGGACAAATGTTGTTAGGGTTGTGGTGTGGGCCAAATTGACGAGGACCTCCCTTGCAACCCCGTCTGACAACCACTGGGGTTGAAGACAGTGTGCTCAGACAGGGGGTGCACGGGTGCGGATCTTGAGTCACTATGGTGAGCGGAGACCTGGCAGAGTAGTCGGCCGTGCTTGATGGTGCTTTAATCCAATCTGGAAGTCAAGAGACAGGCCGGGTCAATAACAGACGGGCAATCTAAGTACAAAGGGTTAATCCAATAGGAGCGTCAAGCAGGGGCATATCTGCCACAAGGCAAACAAGGCGTTTGCCTTGGGCGGCAGATTCCTAGGGAGCGGCAAAAATGCCAGGGTCTCAATGTACCGGCCCGCGAGCCGGTACTTTGTGACCTGCAGCCAGCTCAGAAGTCAGGTAAGCGGTCATCTGCTCCAGTTTTGATAAATTCCCCTCAATGTATGTATAATGTATTCCTCCATAGCTGGTGCTATTCTTCATTGCTGTACAATGTATTTCTGAGATTTATAGTCCTCTATAGCTGGTGGTATTATTCTACATTGTTGTTGTGCTGAGATTTGTAGTCCCTCTACAGCTTCGAGTTAGTGGCAGAACTACCAGGGTCGCAGCAGTCGTACACGGGCACAGCACTGACGAGGCATCCCTACACTCAAGGACGTATCTGCCGCGAGGCAAACAAGGCGTTTGCCTGGAGCGGCAGATTCGCTGAGAGCGGCACCCCGAGTGTCATTCACCTGGATGGGATGACGCGGACGTCGGCCTGGAGAGTGGACGGCGTGTGCAGACGGCGTGTGCAGATTTTACATGGGGGGGGGTTGTAGAAGTGTATTAGGCTACATTTACACCTCTATTTTAGGTGCTAATAGGGATTTCTGCGTCAGGAATTTGCATTTTCCTGCAGCAGAAATCCCTAAATTGGCGTTTACAAATGGCAGCTGTCACCCAAGTTCATGATCAGGTGACATCAGCTGCATGTAAACGCCTGCACACAGCATGTAATGATTTTCCAACCGCATGTAATCATATCACGTATCATTACAAGCGGTGTGCAGGCGTTTACATGGAGCTACTGTCACCTGATCATTAACTTGAATAGGTGACAGCTTCCACTTGTAAACACCAGATTAGGGACTTCTGCTGCTGTAAAACGAAAGTTTCTGATGCAGGAATCCCTAATCACACCTAAACCTACAGATATGAATGGGGCCGTATTGTGTGTATATTGGTGTCTGTAGTACCAAACCGGATACAGTTAAATTTTATTTTAAAGTATGAAATTTGGCAAGCAGCCCCCATAAGAGAAGAAAATTTGGCGAGTGGCCCCAGAAACGGAAGAGGCGGCGTGCGACGATGGCAGAGACACCGATGGAGGAGGTGGGAGGCGTCGCCAGAGCTCCAGTGGGGCGGAGAAGATGACAAGGAGGCCGTGTCGGGCGCCGAGGATGAGGAGGCCGTGTTCCAAAGAGGTCAGGCCGTGCAAGGTAAGAGGACTGTGCTGGCAGAGCCCAGCATAGATTATGCACAGCCCACCAAAGAGTCTCAGGTGTGCTGTGCAATACCTTTTGGTTGGCTCTGTAGGATCTGTGGTGGGCTCTGCATAATCCATAGGGGGCTCCACTGCCTAGGAGACAGGAACAAGGTAAGGACATCCAACACTGGCTGAAGATCACTCAGCACTGAATGATCATCCTGAGGTGCTTTATATAGGCCGGGGACGCGTTACTGCGCATGCACCAACGTGATGACATCACCAGCCCATATCAGCGCAATGACGTCACGCCACGCGGGGCTGATCCCGACGGGCCTTCTGGCGTCTGCGCGGCCTGGATGTGCCGGCAGACGCCCTCTCCGTGTGTGTCCCCGCACAGGAGCTAGGGCCGCGACTCGGCATGTCCCACGGACCGGGACCCGACAAATGTACTCAAAAGTGAATGGGGCTTACCTGGCTCCAGGCCAGCCTCTACGCATACCAACATACAGTATCTAGTTATAGCTAATCCAAATCCTGATCTGCTTCCGTTTGTGCCAGCTAAATTTGATTTACTAATGCCAGCTGGCCAGGCTTTATACCTGCCTTTCCCTGTGCCAACAGATGCCAAGCAAGGCCTACTGCCTCCAGCAGCTAATCTATTTTCAGACCTTCTAACACCTGAGCCAGCTGATCTAGCCTCTGGTAAACACTTGATCTTACCAGGTAATCTCAGTTTAGCCCTCATCCAGGTTTTTGATGGTAGAACTGTAAAATCAAAAATGTCTAGAATCCATTTTAAAAACCAAAAGAGATCCCACTGTGGCATAGATTTTAAATGCAACTCTGAAACACAGAGGGGGGAATTTATCCAAACTGGATAGAACAAAATCTGGAGCAGTTGTGCATGGCAACCAATCAGCTTCTCTCTTCAGTTTGTTCAGTTGAGATTTGAAAATGAAAGAGAGAAGCTGATTGGTTGCTATGCACAGCTGCTCCATATTTTGTCTGCTTCAGTCTTGATCAATTCCCTTCTGAAAGTTTACCAGAAAACACACATTGGTCACCACATAATCATGACCACACTGGGCAATTTGCAAAATTGCCAAATGAGGAACTGCAAAAAGGATGCCTATGAATAGTAAAAATTAAGTCAACTACTAGAAGTTTTGTTTGTTGACCATAAGTGATCATCAAATAGCCCAAGTGGCAAACAAGTGCTTTGGAGTAGAGTAAGTCGAGTCTATTCAGCACCCAACTCATGTTCAAGTTTGGTAAGGCTATCTAATCTATGGCAATATGTACATATTGATTTTACATTGCTGTTTAAGGTAATTATGTTCTAAGTTATCGTTGATTCCTATTCTAGATGGCTAATTGTATGGTCTATATGTACTGTCTACATACATGATCAGCTAAGAAATTTGCAAAAACAGGGATAACAAAACAAGTTGTTAGGTCTTTAAAAGCATCTTTGTAAAACTATTTGTGCTTTAAAAATAGATAAAAAAACAATATTTAATGTTATGCACAGACAACCTGATAGCCTTAAAGGGGTCGATTCATAAATGTTTTCACACAACTTTCTCCCAAGATTCTCACATCCCTTCAAATGAATCAAATTAAAAGAATGTGTGAATCCTGGGAAAAAATGTGGGAACCTTGTATGAAAACCTTTATAAATAGACCCCAAAGTGTCCATTATACATTACAAATAATATGTTAGCCCCACTTACATGCTTTAAGATATGCTGTATACGTCTTTACTCAGGGCCAACTATTGTCCAGAAGATGAGCTGGCATACTAGAGCTTGAAAAGCAGA